CACTTAAGGTTCGGTGACGCTAGGGTTATAGAGATATAAGTATGTGGTAACCCCAAAGTTGTTAGGAGTCCCGGATGAAATCCCGGACGTCACGAGGAGTTCCGGAATGGTCCAGAGGTAAAGAATTATATATAGGAAGTGCTATTTCGGCCATCGGGACAAGTTTCGGGGTCACCGGTATTGTACCGGGACCACCGGAAGGGTCCCGGGGGTCCACCGGGTGGGGCCATCTGCCCCGGGGGCCACATGGGCTGTAGGGGGTGCGCCTTGGCCTACATGGGCCAAGGGCACCAGCCCCTAGAGGCCCATGCGCCAAAGGGACAAGAGGAGGGGAGAGTCCTAAAGGGGGAAGGCACCTCCGAGGTGCCTTGGGGAGGATGGACTCCTTCCCCCCTTGGCCACACCCGTCCTTGGAGGAAGGGGCAAGGCTGCGCCCTCCCCCTCTCCCTTGGCCCTATATATAGTGGGGGGAAGGGAGGGCAACCATACCTAAGCCCTGGCGCCTCCCTCTCCCTCCCATGACACATCTCCCTCCTCCCGCAGCGCTTGGCGAAGCCCTATTGGAATCCCGCTACTTCCACCACCACGCCGTCGTGCTGCTGGATCTCTATCAACCTCTCCTCCCCCCTTGCTGGATCAAGAAGGAGGAGACGTCGCTGCTCCGTACGTGTGTTGAACGCGGAGGTGCCGTCCGTTCGGCGCTAGGATCATCGGTGATTTGGATCACGACGAGTACGACTCCATCAACCCCGTTCTCTAGAACGCTTTCGCGCGCGATCTACAAGGGTATGTAGATCCACTCCTCCCTCGTTGCTAGATGACTCCATAGATTGATCTTGGTGATACGTAGAAAATTTTGAATTATTGCTACGTTCCCCAACAGTGGCATCATGAGCTAGGTCTATGCGTAGTTTCTATGCACGAGTAGAACACAAAGTAGGCTCACCACGGTGGTGCAGGCGACGAGATCGGCGCGGGCTATCGACGGCGGTGAAGACGGGGACGGGACGTGACAGACCGCTAAACCTAGACAAATCTCGGGGAAAATGGAGCTTGGAGGTCGACCTTCGAGAGGAGAAAGCTTAACTAGCGTGGCTTGGGCATTTCATCGAACACCTCATGCGCATAGGAGGTGAGCTAGAGCACCCAAATGCCCTCTCGTCGCCGGCCAAAAAGAACAGAGCACTGTGGAGTGCTCTGCTGCGGCGACGGGGTATATAGAGGCAACTCATTTGTCCCGGTTCATGGCTGGAACCGGGACTGAAGCCCAGCCTTCTGTCCCGGTTCGAGCCAAGAACCGGGACCAATGTTTGTGGGCCAGGAGCGAGGCCCATTGGTCCCGGTTCGTGCCTAGAACCGGGACAAATGGGTCCATACGCACCGGGACCAATGCCCACGAGGTACCGGCCGGCCCCCTGGGCTCACGAACCGGGAAAAATGCATCCATTGGTCCCGGTTCATGGCGGAACCGGGACTAATGGACTGGCCATGCCCGAATGAAAGCCCCTTTTTCTACTAGTGTGAGCTGCTTGCTTCTTTACAAGGGCATCATTGAGCAAATTGATAAATACATAAGGCATTGCTTCTGGAGGGGAAAAGATCTCGAGAGAAAAAACCCACCATTGGCAGCTTGGGACCTTATTTGCAGACCTAAAGTTAAAGGTGGCCTTGGCTTCTTAAGTCTCTCCATCCAAAATACGTGTTTACTGCTCAAGATAGTGCATAAGTTCATAAGCCATGACAATATTCCTCGGGTGAACCTTGTTTGGGAGGTTTACTACCAGCAAAGTACTCCTGATACTCCTCTGGCTGGGTGCTCTTTCTGGTGGAGAGATTGTCTTAAACTGTTAGCAATCTACAAAGAGCAATGAGCTTGCATTATTCATAGTGGGGTTTCTCTGAACTTTTGGACTGGTAGCGATTACCTGCAATGCAGAAATGGCCACATTTGCATTCTTTTGCCACAACTAAGCAAATATCTGTTTCTGCCGTTTGGCATTTATAGGACCTCTCCGATCACTTCCATTTACCGCTGTCAGAGGAAGCTTATTTGCAATTTCAGGAGATGGAAGAATTTTTGCAACCGCTGGTTTTACATGACGATCCAGATGTTTGGCAAATGCCTCAGGGGTCAAATGTTTTTAAAGTCTCGCAAGCTTACCAACAGCTCACTCATTTCCCTGCAGCAATGCCACTTATCAAGTGGAAATGGGCAACCTGTTGTTAGCTTGAGCACAAAATTTTCTTCTGGCTACTGGCAAACAATAGACTGAACACCAGAGCTCTTTTGATGTGAAAGAACTTCTATATACCAAGCTATACTTGTGTTATGTGCAATGCATGCATATTGGAAACCAGGGACCATCTTTTTCTCCACTGCCCATTTGCTCAACTCTGTTGGGCATATATCTGTCCAACTTGGACTCCAAATTTTATGGGCATACAGGAAGAAGTTAAGGTCCTCAAATAACTGCTGCAGGTACCTTTTGCCATGGAAATAATCATTCTGGTGACTTGGGCAATCTGGACCACGAGGAATGATTTCATTTCAAAGGCACACAACCAAACCACTACAACTGCAGAAGAAAATTCAAGGATGAGATCAAATGGATCATTTACCTGTATAGTTTTTTGCTGCTCTAGGTTTCCCTGTTTTTCCTTTTTCTATAGTGTATGTTTTCCTTTGGGCCTATGGGACCTTATTATTGTTTTGTACCTGTTTTCAAAAATCAATAAAAATACGCAGAAGAGTCCTATTGTTTCCCTCAAAAAGAAAAACATGATGACATGTCATTTGCAATCTTGGAGGCCATCTGTGACTCCGAAGGGCAGGAGGTGGTGATTCGAGCATTCCGCTACTTCCACAAATTCCAGAAGGTGTATGAGGCATACTGGTTCTGAACGCACTCTCTGAAAAGCTTGGCAAACAAGTGTTGAGTGTAGAGTCTGGGGTGAGCCAAGAAAATGGAGCAGAGCATGAGCATGACCGACACTTATAAAGGGCACTTGAGGCTTAGGTACAATCGGTACTCAATGAATTGGTCACAAAATTAATGGATGGATAGGTAATGTGCTCACCAACCTTCCTCAGCCTAAGCATGACCGGCACTTATAAAGGACCCAGTGCTCCTCTCTATAGTCTCCATGTGGCCTCTAACTAAGTTATCTGGATGGTACTAGCAGACAAACAAACACGATCATAGTCAAGGTTCCCAAGCGGGAGAGAGAGAGAGAGAGAGAGAGAGAGAGAGCAGTGACAATAATCAATGGGTTGCATTGACGCAATCCTTTATGAAATATGAATGGGAGGCATATGGAAACTTATCATCTCAAAAGTTCATCTCAGGTGTTGGAGAATTCCAGGAGCATCTATTTCCGAGGAGGGAAGGCAGCGGGATCACTGATCGGCTCGCGCATAGGAAAAGATTGGAAGATGGCAGTACAGCTCAGCCGAATCCCTCCATAGGGAGATAGCTACGGGCAGAAAATCAGAAAGTGGACAAAAAACTTCGCACTGTAAAAACTGGATAAAACATTTTTTCCCTCCGTTCCCCCCTAGATTGCAACCCACACTCACCAGACGAAGTCCTAGTGCATTCCGATTCGGAACCTTAGACTTACAATATGCGAGCAAATCAGGGGAGCTGGACCTTGGGGAGTACCAAAAGTAAGTAGATTAGGTTCTTTTTCATTCTTCAGGAACTTCATCTCTTGCTGAGATCTTCATCCCTAAAGATACTTGACAATAGTATTATTGGAGTGGATACACAACTCACAAAAAATACAAGAAGTCGATTAGGCAGATTGGTCTGAGTGAAGAGAAAAAAAAAGCCATACGGAACTCAAAATATTTTCCGGAGATATTCATTTTCCTGAAGAGGCGGATAAGATATTAGGTGGCTGTTTGATACCGCCCGAAACACACACAAAAATGATTCTAAGGAACAGAAAGGTGCGACGGCCTTCTAAGGAATAAAAAAGGAAAAATTGGGTCTATATTCAACGGAAAATAGTTCTCAAGAGCAAGGAAAAGTACCTCGCCGCAGCCCGCCCGTCGTATCGTTAGTTGCCGGAATCGCTATGGCCCTTCTGGGCAACGCCAGGTGGTCTCACGTGAGGTGGAGGACTGGAGGCAGTAGTGGTCGAGAGGGGGCGTAGTGTCCAGCTCACTAAGCCGATGGAGGCGGGATGAAAGGACAGACAGGGCGAAAAGGCCTGAAGCCAACATCCCAACACAGGGAGAGGCGCTCGCTCATGCAAGAAGCGTGAGCCCCCAGTAACCAACACGTACATGAGCAGGCAACCAGCACAATCTACAACTCTTTCTTCTCACAGCAGTACAACCTAAAACTTAGCAATGCATATGAATCAGATTTGTCCTAGAAAAGCAAAGGTATCTCCAAGAATTTGCACCAAAAAGACCAAGGGTTTTTGCCTCGCAACAAATTTTGGTCACCTATAAGTGGAAAACATTGGCAAGATAAATGAATTGACAACCAAACAAACAAAACCCAATTGTTCATTGACAGAGCTTCGCCACAAGCATAAAGAGGCCATTTATTTTCATGTCTTCCTTAACTTGTTTCGATCCATGTGGCAAAACAAACTTGAAAGCTGTCTCAAAATCTCACAAGGGCTGTAGTTAGTTAACAAAACACAAAAGCTAGCTAGAATGACATATTGTCTGGAACACAGAATGACATCCATTTGTAGCAAAACTTGGCACAACCAATTCAGATTTTTCCCATAAGAGCAAGCAGTTTGCTGATCATCACATGTTTAAACGCCTCCAAAACCTACATCTCCAAGAAAAAAAAGGTGGCATTCACCACGTTCTGGAGCCATACCCACATCCGAAACAACATGCTCCAAAATACTGTTTCAGCTTTCAACAGAGACACAGAGCCTCCAATTACGCAGCTACAAAATTCAAGAGGACATCCAAAAGACAGCATTGACCCAAACCCCTATTATCATGACACAACTCCACCTTCCAGGACCTAGTTAGGCAACTCCATGATGGCGCTGACGATGTCGCCATCCGCAGCCTTGAGTGCCTCCACAGCCCTGGATCTCGACACGGAGGCCTGCATCATCACGAGCTCGACGTCCTTCTTGTCAACGCCCAGCTCGTCGACCTCCTCGTCATCTTGGACTGCTGCCACAAACGGCTCACCCTTTGAATTGACCCTGCTCGGGCCCGGCGCCTTGAAGTGCTCTGCCGCTTGTGTCTGCAGCTCAGTGTTCAGGTCCTCGAACTTGATCTCCCCGATAATGACATAGGTTTCTGAGTGTGAGCTCTTGAAGACATCTGGCTTGGAGAGGACAAACGTAACCTGCAATTGTGTTGGAGAAGGACTTAAGAAAATATGATAACCACCAGCATATAATTATGCTTCAGGGAACAATGTCGTAAAGTGGTTAAGATGCTCACGGTCTTGCTCTTTTTGATAGTTACATGGTTCACACCAGTAATGACCTTCATGCCAAGCTTCTCCATTGCTTTCCTGCTCTTCTTCTCACTCCTTGTCTGCCTAGATCTTCCACTAGCATCACCTCCTAGTCCCAGAAAGCACAGACGCATAATGTCAGATTTTCAAAATTTGCAAAAGCCCAGATTTCTACAACTGTACATAGTTCACTTTGTGGGTTATTATCTGCAATCGCTGAAAATGGCAAGTGTAACATTCATACAACACTTAAACTTTTCTAAAGCAAGATTGAACAGAAACTGTGACTGCAATCAAGTCTTCTTGGTATCCATTGTCGATTTTGGAATTTTGAACATCTTACTTTTGCCACTTAGTGTAAGGTAAAAAGGATTAGCTATTGATATAATGGAAATTCCAGCATCAGTTCATACTAAATGCATTGAAATGATTCACCTACCAAAATTATACTTGCAAAAGCAAGATTTTATATTCAGGATTTGTTCCTATCAAACTAAATGCTATAGCTGAACATTCATGTATATGTTAAGTTCAAATTGATACAAGGTGCCACCACAATACATACATGAATATTACATACAAATGGCAGGAAGTACTCAAGAAACTATATATTCTGTAAATAAGCAGTGCTGAATAATTCAGGAATAAGTGCATATGATATAGTTCCAAAAAACTGAGAATATAGACCACAACGGCATAGCGATGGTTCGTAAAGAACAGAGCATTAGACAGGTACAAACTGGTCGGTTCTGAATCTTCAAATAAAAAACAGGTCAAAGTGAACCAAAATAGGTAAATTTGGAGTTTGTTCATTGAGGAACAGATCAAGTAACAATTTCGAAATTATGGAAATGCCAAAATTTAGCCCAATAGAAACAAAATAATCCACTGATTCAGGAGTTGAATAAGCAACGTTTAATTTAAAATTCGGGTATGGGCAATAACTTCAGATGTTTAAACTTATGTTAGAACTTACAAGGCAGCATTACGATAAGAAATATGCTTATCTGTAACTAAGTGGCTACTTGAACTGAATAGAAGGAACTACAAAATTTGAACATACCCTCAACATCATGGTCATCTTTTTCATCCTCATCCTCATCATCGTATTCATCGCCGTCGTCATCATCCTCAAGGATAGGCTCATCTCCCTGAGAGTATGCATTACAAAAATCATATTACTTGACTGTTGTAAGTATTAAAGACCAAACAGCACTCCCTCGGAACAGGGCATATGCAGAGTGCGAGGAAACAGAGTTAGCCGTATGCAGAAATGAAAGAATAGTAAACAATCTAACAACATGAATATGCGAGCACATAGTAAGTAGCATCAGCAGAAGATAAACTGAAATGACACTCGAGAAGATAAACTGAAATTACAAGGAACTACTCTCTGCTTTGACAACAGAAGGTATACTCGCACAATTATATTGTTGGTACAGGAAATATGCCATAAAGCATGTAACCATACACACAAGATACTTAGGCTACTAATCAACTTCCAAAGCTATTTACAAACAAGCAAGGTCTGATTTCTACTGTAGAAAAGATCAAAGGTGGATGATTTATCTATGCTCGCTTAAAATTCTTTTCAGATTTGTATCCATAAGACAAAGCAGTAGCATTTCAATTTGCAACACTAGAGATTGCTCTGAAAGTGGACCACAAACTGTACATAACTAGGACAACCGGCAAACAAATGAAGAAGTACAACATACTGTATGTAACAGCAAAGTTAGGAGCAGAAAGATGAAAGGTTGGGCCTGAAAATGAAACTCCCAGTTGGACAAGTGAGCATGAATCCCTCAGCTGGAGGTTCATGTAGGCCTGGGTTGACCGGACCCGCTGCCCTTCCCCATGAAAAGCCTTAGGATACCAGAAAGGACAAACATTCAAGGGAAGTGCCATCAGGTTGGCCACCCTTTACAGAGTTCTGTGCGACCTAGGCGACATGGACAGACGAGATCTAGCGCTATAACACCACCACAGCAACCGAACACGCCAGTCCAGGGGCCGAACGAGCAAGAATGGGAAAGATTTTTTTTATTTTTTGCTTTTTTCTGAAATGTGAGGCGAAGATTCTTCAGTCTGACACGGCACCAAATCGGAGAGGGGGGGAGGGCTCGGAATGGAGGATCACCTCGATGCTCTGCTCCTCGAGCTGGGCGCGGAGCAGCTCGGCGGCCGTCATTGTGGCGTGCCGGAAAAAGCTTGTCGGAGGGGAAAGTAAAACCCTAGCCTAGCTACGAGGGAGGGGCTTGGGAGCAGGAGAGCAGACGTCGAAGAGAGACTGCGACGGCTGGCAGGAAGAAAGGAGGAGACCCGCTTGACTCGTGCCCTCTGGTGTCTGGTGGGTGTAAACTGGGCCTAGACCGTGCAATTTGGGCCAGTTCGTTCATGCCCGCTTTCTTGGCCCGTCTTGGCAATCTGGCAATAGTACCTCTTTTAGTATGGTTCCCCTAAAAAAACCTCTTTTAGTGGGTGTGGGTGTAACCTAGTTTCATGGTTTGAAATTTTAAATTTGGCTCTCCTAGCTAAACAGGCGTGGCGCATTCTAAACCTCAGAAAAAAAAAGCTAAACAGGTGTGGCACATCTACAAAACCCAGAATCACTTGGTGCAAGAATTTTATATTTCCCTTCGTGCTCGATTTTGAATGCAGAACTGGGTAACCATCCAAGCCAGATTTGGAGAGCAGTAGTAGAAGGACATGATGTACTCAAGCGGGGATTGATACAGAGAATTGGCAACGGAGCTTCAACTCATATATGGTCTGACAATTGGATTCCAATGGACGTCATGTTGCACCCCTATGGATGTCGGGTAACCAATCCACCTTTACTTGTAGCCGCAAGATGGGACATGGAGGAACTATCAGAGGTGTGTTTACCAATTTATATTTCATCTATTCTTAATATATCTATATGTACAAGTGAGGTAGAAGATAGCTGGGTGTGGCACTTTGAGAAAAGTGGTTGTTGTACTGTGAGATCAGCATACAAGATGATGATCGCTACAAAGTACAGACAGGAAGCTTGGATCAACGGTTCTGCTGGTTCCTCTAGTACTGATAGAGATGTGGCCTCGTGGAAGCTATTATGGAAAACACCCGTATCGGGAAAATATGTATGTTCCTTTGGAGACTAGCGAGGCACTCATTGTCAACCGAGGACATACAGGCTCATAGGAAAATGTCCACTACCAGCACTTGTGCTCTTTGTGGCACGGCTGACTCTGGAGACACTCATTGCTTGTGTGCGATATGGCGAGGTGCACTTGTGCTCTTTGTGGTGCGGCTGACTCCTGGAGACACTCATTGCTCGAGTGCGATATGGCGAGGTGCACTTGTGCTCTTTGTGGTGCGGCTGACTCCTGGAGACACTCATTGCTCGAGTGCGATATGGCGAGGTGCACTTGTTGATGGTGATTTGGCGAAGCACTTATGCGAGACAATTGAACTAACTGCCAAGTAGTGGCTGTTGTGATGATTGATTCATTATCACATGAGGAATCTTCTATATCTAAATAGCTAGCCCCCACTAATGTATTTCTCTCAACATGCAAGTATATCACCTCATCATTCAACATGCATGGAGAAAAGCCTGTCACAACATGCAACCATGCATAATAAAAAGCCACCTCAACATGCAAACATGAATGAGAATTTACATGCTATTATGGTATTTATATTATACAATAAACAAACACCACAAATCATTTTTTAGTTTTAGTTCTCATGTTATTACGCTACATATTCATGTTTCATACAACCAATTCTCACTGAATATATTGCGAAACATTCCCGCAACAACGTGCGGGGTATCATCTAGTTTGTTAAGTTGTCAGTCATTAGTGGCAAGGACTAGGGCGCCACCTCGGGGTTTTGCAAAAGTCAATGTAGATGCAAGTGTGGCAAAGCCCGAGATGAAAGGCAATGATACGTCTCCAACGTATCTATAACTTTTGATTGTTCCATGCTATATTATATTCTGTTTTGGACATTATTGGGCTTTATTATACACTTTTATATTATTTTTGGGACAACCGATTAACTGGAGGCCCAGCCCAGAATTGTTGTTTTTAGCCTATTTCAAAGTTTCGCAGAAAAAGAATATCAAACGGAGTCCAAACGGAATAAACCTTCGGGAACGTGATTTTTGGAATGAACGTGATCCAGAGGACTTGGACCCTACGTCAAGAAAGCTACCAGGAAGGCACGAGGTAGGGGCGCACCTACCCACCCACCCCCCAGGCGCGCCCTCACCCTCATGGGGCCCATGTTGCTCCACCGACGTACTTCTTCCTTCTATATATACCTACGTACCCCCAATCTACCAGATACAGAGCCAAAAACCTAATCCACCGCGGCAACCTTCTGTACCCGTGAGATCCCATCTTGGGGCCTTTTCCGGAGCTCCGTCGGAGGGGGCATCGATCACGGAGGGCTTCTACATCAACACCATAGCCTCTCAGATGATGTGTGAGTAGTTTACCTCAGACCTTCGGGTCCATAATTATTAGCTAGATGGCTTCTTCTCTCTCTTTGGATCTCAATACAAAGTTCTTCACGATTCTTGTGGAGATCTATTCAATGTAATCTTCTTTTGCGGTGTTTTGTTGAGATCGATGAATTGTGGGTTTATGATCAAGTTTATCTATGAACAATATTGGAATCTTCTCTGAATTCTTTTATGTATGATTGGTTATCTTTGCAAGTCTCTTCGAATTATCAGTTTGGTTTGGCCTACTAGATTGATCTTTCTTGCAATGGGAGAAGTGCTTAGCTTCGGGTTCAATCTTGCGGTGTCCTTTCCCGGTGACAGTAGGGGCAGCTAGGCACGTATTGTATTGTTGCCATCGAGGATAACAAGATGGGGTTTATATCATATTGCATGAGTTTATCCCTCTACATCATGTCATCTTACTTAAAGTGTTACTCTGTTCTTTTGAACTTAATACTCTAGATGCATGCTGGATAGCGGTCGATGTGTGGAGTAATAGTAGTAGATGCAGGCAGGAGTCGGTCTACTTGTCTCAGACGTGATGCCTAT